TCCAGTGAAAACAAATGTCTGATCCCTCTGCCTGCGCTGCTGCCCTTTATTCTGGGCCCTGCAGTCCAGTTCCCCTTTTGAGGGCCTTCGCAGCACCCTGCCAGTGGCTGGTAGGAGAACCCAGGTCCTCCTCCTATGCTGGGATCCAGTCCAGGAACCCTAGGGCAGGCAGTCATGGGTCACTCCACCAGTGGACGGTTTGCTGGTACTTCCCTGGACTCCTTCCTACTGAGACTTTCCCTGGGCTTTCTCCTCACCCTGCAGTCGTCTCCCCTTTCCTACGGGTCTCCTCACTCCCTGCTATCCGCAGAGTGACTGCAGGGTTTCTCCCTGCCACTCTTCTGCTATAAACTTCCTGTGCTTGTAGCACACCCAGCCACCCCCGCTGGGTTTCATCATTAATTAGACATGGACGACCCTCCAGGTGCCACTGGGCGGGTTCACCACCTGTGGGGGGTAGGCACCCCATCACAAGGGCATAGGAGTGGCATGAAACTCCTGGGTCAGTGAGTCCAGTCCCCTGCCGCCCCGTCATGTATGTATCAAGCTCCATCCTAAAGCTAGTGGGGTTGTTTGGCCCACTGCTCCTATGGGGTGGCTGTTCCCGGCCCTCACTCCTCTGATGGACAGAAGCCATTCTGCTTATTGTCCAGTCTACATTGATTCATGGCCAGTTTATCCCCATGGGTCCTTGTGCCAACATTGTCCTTTACATTCAATAGCTCTTCTCCCTCCCCGGGGTTTACCCCTCTCTGCTGTATTTGTACCAGCTGCCCCTCAGCCTGTGTTTTGCTTGGCTGAACTAGCCAAGCTGTTTTCCTCTCCTCGGACTCTCCGTTCCACTGCGCAGCCTCGTCGACTTGCTCGGTACCTGTTTTGGCGTGAATCCACCTGGCTCAGACATGGGTGAGCATAATTGGACACACCCCTCCAGATGAGGGCTGACCGGTGCCTTGTTTTGAAAATAAAAACATTGAAGCTGAGATATTGTTTTACTTCCACCTGCAGGGCTTCCAGGAGATTTGAGCCTGGTTGGAACACCCAGGGTGCTGTCCAGCCCTTGAGATGTCGTCTGGTGCCTAATTGGCCAAGTCCCTTCTCTCAGCAATAAAGGCAAAACGTCTGGGAGTCCTGTGGCTATGGGATATATCGCCTGCTTACGAGGCCAGCAAGCATCTCCCAGGTAGCTCTAAAGGTGGCTGTGAAAGGTAAGGAACTTGTTTTCTTCTCACGTCTGGCAGGTGTGATTAAAAAGAAAGGGGCCGTTCAGCAAACGCATCTGACTCCCAAGTGGGGACTGACTCCCAGCAGTACTTGAAGCAGAGCACGTGCAGTGGTTGTCTGGCATGAGAGGGGGTGGATGGGTTTGTGCTGAGCGCTTGCCTGGGTTGCAAACCCAAGGTAACCTTTCAGGAGACAACGCCTTGGTGCATGTGGGTCAAGAAGCAGAAAGCAGCCTGCCAGCTGCTCTGAAAGGCTCCGATGCTGCCTTTCATTTGAACCACTGAGGCAGGGGGTAGGAAGCGAGTTCTGGAGGGGGCTGCAGCGTGGGGCAGGGAGAGCGTGAGTGTGGAGGAGAGAGCCCTTAAAGCATTCAAAGATCTCTGGAGAAAGAGGTTCTCGCTTGTGCCCACTGACCTTGTTAACGTGTTCCCCTGTCTTCCCCACGTCGCTCCCCGCTTCTGTCTGGCTCCAGCCTCGTCTGCCTGGGGGTCACCCTGGGCTGCTCAGGCCTGGTGAGAGCTGGGGGAGAAGGACTAGCTGTGTTGCTGGTGCCCATCTAGCTGAAAAAAGTTGTTGTAACTTGAGAGATTTTGTGGGCAGAGTGGGCTCCCAAAACCCCCATCTCACCCCATTCTGCATTAGGCAAATTGGAGTGTGCCAGTCAATTCCCAAAGGAGTTTCTCTGTGGAGGGGGAGGGGGAGGGAGCTGTAGATTCATTGGGTCATTGCTCTCTCACCAGGTAATAGCATGTTTGCCTAGCTCAAAGTAAGCCACACCTCTGATTTTTGTGATACAGGGAACTCTCTTCCACACAGTATCAGTGAAATTTACTGGGGCAGTAAAAGAATTTTCTCACTATAAATCTTGGCAATTCATCCCTGGATGATCAAGGACACGGCTTTTCTTTAAGCTCTGCCGGCAAGTTCAGATCTCCTGTGATTTCCGTGAATCATAATCAGAGGTTCCAAGTTGCTTTTTTACTTTTTTCAGTCTGTGCAGGAAGTCTGAGCTAAAATAGGTGGAGAGATGGGATTATAATTGCCATGGTGAGTCTGAGTTCCTGCTGCCTGCTTTGGGTGTGGAGAGATTTTGTTGGTGTTGGTGCGGCTGTACCTGGCCTGGGAAGGAGAATCCTGTCTTCGAAGCGTGTTGCCAGGAGTGCTGATGTGCCAGAGCCGCGGCCATGCTGCAGCAGATCCTGGCAGACATGTACATCGATCCTGAGCTGCTGGCAGAGCTCAGCGAGGAGCAGAAACAGATCCTCTTCCTCAAGATGAGGCAGGAGCAGGTCAGACGGTGGAAGGAGAGAGAAGCTGCCACAGACAAGAACTCAGCGAAGAGAGTGACCCAGCGGAAAGGTAACTGGCTCCCCAGCGCTGGGCTTGCTGCCTGGTAAATACAGCTGTGCCGGGTTACAAGCAACCTGCTGTTGGGTGAAAAGTGGTTACAGCTCAAGTTACAGCTCCGGGGGGGGTGCCAGGGTTACTGCAGGAAAAAATCTTTCTACGAGGAGGTGGCAAATGAACACAGCCAAGGCTAGGGGTTCAAGCGCTGCCCTGTGACCCCTCACAGCCGGGCCCAGGTCCTAGCCTTCGCTCAGTAACCTTGGGCAAATCCCTTAATGTCTCTGCCTGTAACACGGGGCCCACAATGCTTCCCTTGTCTGCTTAGACGGAGCGCTTTGGAGCAGGGGCCCCGCACAACAGAGCCTCTTGTGCTACCCTAAGAGAAATAATTAACTAGGTGCCGTGCTCTGCAGGCACCACGCTCTGGGCTTCGGGCTGCGGGTAGCCTAATGGACTGTGTTACTTTTGACCCTCTTCTTCAGGAAGCCAGATGGCTGAAGGATTTTTTAAGCAGGCCAGCATGGGCTGGGTGCCGGCTGCACTATCTAGCTCAGTAAGGGGGCTGTCACAGGAGAGGAGGACACCCAGGGTTCAAGAGGCTCTATAGCCCAGGTTGCCCTGAGATTTGCATTTGCAGCAGCCCTCCTTTAGAAATACCTCTCCCTGCCACTGCCTTCCCGCTCCCCAGAGGCCTCGGGGTCACGGGGGCAGGGTGCAGCTGAGACTGGTCTTAGCGGCTGAGAGAGCAGCTCGGTTTCCCCAGGCCGGACTACCCAGGCAGGTGCTCTCCTGGAACTAGCGAGTAGGAGAAATGGGCTTTGAGGAGCCACAGGGAGCTCCTCCGAGTGGGCAGGCTGCTGGGCAGGGGGACATGAATGGGCTGGGGGAGCATTTGAGGAAGACAGTTTGGAGGGGAGGAGTCCATGACCAGGGGGAAATAATAATAAGCATCAACCCAAGCTCTTATCTAGCACTTTCTATCTGTCGATCTCAACGTGCTTTACAAGGGAGATCAGTGTCGCTATTCCCATGTCGCAGATGGGGAAACTGAGGCACTGGGCGATGAAGTGACTCACCCAAGGCCATCCAGCAGACCAGTGGCAAAGCTGGAAATACAGTCCAGGTCCCCTGAGTTCCAGCCCAGGGCTCTATCCACTAGGCCACACTGTCTCCTCTGTGGTCTGCTCCTGCGCCCTGCATCTGGGATCATGCCCTACTCCACAAATAGCCCCATTGACTACAGTCTATCTGCTTGTGGTGTAAGGCCCCACTCGTGGGGGAGGGGCTCCGAATCTGACTCGGGCTGCTGCTGCTCAAACTGAGAGTGGCGTTTTGAATGTAGCTTGGCAAATCATGTCAAATTGCTAGCAGCTTCCTCCCCCGAACAACCGCCCTGCCCCCCTGCCAAGCAGTTAGCCCTCAGGTAACCAAGGGTTGGGGGTATCGCGTTCTGGGGGGCAATCCAGACTAGTGAGGAGTTGTCACCTCCTGCCCTGCAACCTTGGGTGCCGCAAATGCTTTGTTGCCATTGCTCCCAACCTGGGCCCCACACACCCAGCCAGACAGCATGCAGGTCACACCCTGAGTGTCGGCAGATAGCCACAACCTGCCAGCCACACAACAGCCACAGTCCAGCTTCCAGCAGCCTTGCTTACCACCTGCAGGGTGACCCCAACACATTCCCAGTCCCCAATTTCCCCAAAAATGTGCATTGTCCTCTGTCCAGCCCTCTCCTGGGCAGTCCGTTGCCCCAGTAAGGGATCAATGTACAACAGTTTGGTACTTTAACTGGAGTCACCCAAACAGCTCAGTTTACACACAACACTGGATTCGTTTTGCTTAACGAATAAAACAAGTTGATTTAATTACAAGGCGATAGATTTGAAGTGAGTATAAGGCATTACAGTCATAAATGGTTCCTAGAGGAAATAAAGATCAAACGCTTTCTAGTAACTAAACCAGCTAGACTTGGTTCAAGGTTTCAGAAACCCTTCTCACATTTCCCAGCAACAGGGCTGACTAAATTCCCAGGTACCTTTTGTCTTCTTAGGTGAAAGAGGGAGTGAGAGAGAGCGGGAGAGAAAGAGAGAATACCCCCGGGGGGGGGGGGAGGGTGTGTTTTGGCCCTCTCTTTTATAGTCCAGTCATGAGGGTCACCTCTAGATAAAATTCCTTCCCCCTGTGAGGGTGAAGATATGGGTCTTGTGGTGAAGGCGGTTCCGTGTTGTTTGTTCAAATGCAAATCGATCTGTTCCTGCCCCCCCCCTTTGCTGCCACTTGACAGGTGATTGCCAGTTAACGTTGATGACACCTGGCTAGAGGCGCCAGCTTGTCCTTTGTCTTTGAGAAACTAGTTTACCCCCTCCACAGACTGGTCTGGTAAACAGACATCAGTCCCGATTTCAGCGTCTGTTCCTAACTCTCCATGAAATGTTGCTACACACATTTCACCCCGTTGTTGATCAGGGAGCTATTTGTACAAAATACCCCTGGAGAGGTGTCATTTGAAAACTAAGATTATGACCGGGGTGTGAATACAGGGGTGTGTTCGGTCACAGGGTCATGAGCGCCACCGGCGCTTTAGTGGCCAGTGCACTGAGTGTTTGTCTTGCAGCGCTCGGGAAGTCGGTGAAGTGGAAGCTCGGCACGGACAGCGAAGTCTGGGTCTGGGTCATGGGCGAGCACACGTCGGATAAGCCTTATGATGTGATCTGCGAGGAAATCCAGGCACGGAGGGCTCAACAGGAAGCGGGGGAAGCCAGGTAAGGCAGCACTCGGCCCCAGGAGCCGGTTGGACAGGTTTGCGGTTACTCAGGCGGTGGCTCCTCCGGTGGCTAAGGCGGAAGGTGCTTTTTAATAGATGATAATCAGTGCAAGATAAAAGGGAGAGCTGGGATGGAGCAAAGTTCTGTGTGTTTCTCCCCTGCAGTCTGTGGAGATTTCTACAGTCTCCTTCCACCCACACTACATCCAGAGAGAGGCACTAGGTCTTAGGGGCCTGTGTCTTTTAGGCACTTGGGCCTAGATCCTCACAGGTAATTAGGCCCTAATTCCCACTGATTTATACCTAGGAATATCTATACCAATATATCTAGGAAGATCTGGGCTTGGGCCCTAAAACTGGGCACTGGAGTCGCAGGGCACGTGCCTGGGAGCGAGCACATGGCCTACAGGGAGGCAGATGTATGGCTTCTTGCCTCGGGGACAGGGAGTGCTGTGTGGGCGAAGCACTGTTTGGGAAGGGTGTGTCCCTCCCAACCATGCTGGTGAAAGCTGGGAAAGCCCTAGGTGGGTGGCACAGTGGTCTGGGTGCATTTGCTCTTGTTTGAAAATAAAGCCAACCCTGGGGAACACGCCTTGGACTGAGGTGTCCCGGGGAGCTTCATTCGGCCTTCCTGGCTGGTGCGTTTGCTGGCTGGCTCACGGGCCCCAACGAGCTGCGTCTTGAGAATCCCTTTGACAGGCTGCTGCCTCCTCTACCAGCTGCCCGTGGCTGTACCTTCCTCCATGCGGCCATGCGGCTGGGCTGCCTCCTGGACAAGCCCTTTGAAGGTGCCAGCCTTGGCCCTCAGCTCCCAGGCAGGGCAGCAGGGTGTCTCCCTGAGGAGATGAGGCCTGAGTCATCTGGGAAGGGCTCTGAGGCTGCCAGGTGATCTTCGCTGGGGTCTGGCCCTTTGGTGGGGGGATGGGGAAGCTTGGTTGCTAACATTGTATGCAAATCATGAGAGTGGATTTGCCTACTAACAAATGATTTGCAGATGACTCTGATCATCAGTTTAGATAAAGGGGGGATTGAGCGCTGGGGAGAGGAGCTGGTTGGTTTGTTTTACCTGCTCGGCAGTTGGGGGAGGGGGTTCCATGGGCACCTGGATTGTCCCAGGCCATTTGCAGATGGCGGAGGATGCAGACTAGGGATAACATGGGGTCTCCAGACGCCCCCTGCCTCCAGCATGCAGGAGCCCCTCTTACCCTGCTGCCACATGCACATTGACCCAGGACTCTTACCCAGGGGCGGACAAACTTTTTGGCCTGAGGGCCGCATTGGGTTTCGTAAATTGTATGGAGGGCCGGTTAGGGGAGGGGGTTGTGACCCAGCCCCCACCTCCTATCTGCCCCCCCTGGATTCCTGCCCCATCCAACCCCCCCCGTTCCCTGGCGGCCCCTCTGGGACCCCTGCCCCATCCACACACACCCCACTCCCTGTCCCCTGACCTCCCCCGGACCCCCGCCGCCCCATCCAACCCCTCCTCTCATTCCTGACGGCCCCCCCCCAGGACCCCTGCCCCATCCAACCACCCCTTCTCCCTGTCCCTTGACTGCCCCCAGAACCCCTGCCCCTGACTGCCCCCTGCCGCCCCATCCAAACCCCCTCCTTCCAATCCTCCCTCCTTCCCCCCGGGACCCTGCCACCATTCAACCCCATTTCCCCTCCTGACCACCCCCAGAACTCCCCTGCCCTCTATCCACCCCCCCTGCTCCCTGCCCCCTTACCGCGCTGCCTGGAGCACCGGTGGCTGGAGCCGGGCCACGCCGCCACCACCACCACACAGCACAGAGCACTGGGTCAGGCCGGGCTCTGCAGCTGCGCTGCCCCAGGAGCTCACAGCCCCACCGCCCAGAGCACTGCGCCGGCGGCGGGGCGAGTGAGGTGAGGCTGCGGGGGAGGGGGAACAGCTGGGGAGGGGCCGGGGGTGAGCCTCCTGGGCCAGGAGCTCAGGGGCCGGGCAGGACAGTCCCACAGGCCAGGCCGTAGTTTGCCCACCCCTGCTCTAATCCCAACCCTGTGCTGGTGCTCCTGAAAATACGGCCTTTGAACAGTATCTACTTACAGTGAGAGCTCGGGTGGGCAGCATCCCGCTCATCACCACAGCTGATATTCGGGAGTGATTTCTATGCCAGTAGGTATCTGCCTGCATGTGGATGCACAATTAACTGCAGTGAGTGATTACTTTAATTGTCTCCGCACCAGGAGCATGGACATAGTGCTCATCTCTGTGAGCTGCTGCTGGGCCGCGGAATTGCTTCATTGCCATGTCATGTCCTTTCAGTAGTTTGGAAGGCGGAAGGCTGAAGGCTATTGATTCTATTCCAAAATTCCTGCTTGGTGTCTTCACAGGGGAAGTCAAACATTCCTAGAACCGGCTGTACCATGCTCCCTGCGTTCTCAGCCAGGAGCCCTGGGTGGGGCAGATGCCAAAAGGAAGTTGGAAAAAAACGGAGAGAGGGAGAAGGAAGATGTGATAACAGCTGATAAAGAGGAGAGAAGCTGGGATCATGCTCAGGTACTTGTTTTCTGTTCTCCTAACACTGCTCAGAAGTGCATAACTTCACGAGGGGGGGGTTGCAAAGACTCTATGCTGAATGGGGCCAGCGTCTGATAAATTGAAACATGAATTGGAAAAAGCCATTTGATTTTTAAAGGCTGCTTTTGTCTCTGTTTTGGAAAAGCCATGCAACTCAGGAGAGCAATCTTCTCGAGAGGAAGGATAGTCTTGTGGCTGAAGTACTAGCATGGGACTTGGGGCATCTGGGCTCTGTTCCGAGCCGTACCAGCCTCTCTCTCTGTAGTAATGAGCAAGTCACTTTGTTTTTCTGTGCCTCAGTCTCCCATCTGTAAAATGGGGAGTATAATACTTCCTTTCTTATCCTTTGTCTGTCTGTCTAGACTGCGAGCCCTTGGGGGCAGGACTGTCTCTCACAGTTCATGTCTGCACGTGTGCACTGCCTGGCACAATGGAGCACTGTCTCTCAGTCTGGGTAAATAAACCTAAAGAGGCAATCCTCTGCTGAGATCAAAATGAGCCCTGATATTGCATTGTTTCTGAGCTATCAGGAGTCATCTTTATGGCATCTGAAATGTTGCTTTGAAGGATAAGGCGCTATCCACAATGAAAGCAACATTTCAGGTGCCATAATAATTTCAGCGGTTTCTATGTCTGGCATTATAGTCCTGGACTCCTGCCACTAAACTAGAACAGACAAAACTAAAAACTCTGGGCCAAATTCTGATGACTCCATTGGAGTTTTTCTAGATTTCCACTGGTGGAACTAACAGTTGAATTTGGGCCACTGATTTTATTCTGATCAATAAATAAACCTAACGAGGCAGGTTTCTGTTAAGAGCAAAATGAACCCTGATGCTTCATAGTTTCTGGCAGATGTTTTATGGCAAAACTAACAATAGATGGAAATGAATGTATTCAGAGTCGGATTTTTTCTCCTCCGCGCTCAAGTGCTACAGCGAGCGCGTGAGGTCAATGTCTGCTATTGGCATTTTTAAAGTGCCTGCTTGTATTTCTTTTTATAAAGTTAAAACTATTTTATGACTTCAAAAGCTGGATGTTACACTGCTTGGGTCGAACCTTTTGTTGAGAATGTTTCCTCTCTGGCAATATTTTCACCGTGGGATTACAAATAAATTATTTTAAAGTGGTTGGAAAGAAATCAATTAGAGATGCATTCCAGCATTAACCACTTATTATTCATGGAGGAAACAGAACAGGCTAAATATCTATTAACCACACATATCACTGACATGCTTAAAGCCTGAGCCAAAAGCCATTCAAGTTAGTGGAAAGACTTCCATTGAGTGCAGTGGAGTTTGGGTTAGGTCCTTAGTTGTTACTTTTGTGTAGAATTGCAAGTGTGTGTCTAAAACCACATGTGGCTCTGTCATCAATGTAGAAAAGGTAGGTAACTCGAGGCTTGGTTTTGGCCACATCTTTGCTGAGTTGACAGCAAGGCATCCATGAGGTGACCTCAGTGTTGCCAGCTCTCCTGGGTTTTATTGCAAGTCTTCCGTGTGGTGTTTTTCTTAAAGTCTCAACTCCTGGAGTCATGGGATTAGGTGAGAATCTCAGCTTTATTTTCTCACTGAAGGAGATTTCTATTTCACATGGTTGCAGAGAGGAGCTTAAAACATGATCACTAAAAGCTCAAAAAACAGAAGGGAAAGAATTCCCCCCCCCCCCAATTTTTTAAAATCTTGTGATTTTTAAGACATTCTCATGATTTGTCAAACCCGTCAGTGTTTTCTGAATGCCCGAGACTGGCAATCCTGAGATGAGACATAGGCCAAGATGTGGGATGGGCATTGTGCTTTCTAAGGCTTGTCCTTTTTTTACATCTCCATTATTCTAATAACTGATGTGAGAATGATTTACATCCGTAACTGCATCTGAGCATTTTGTTGTTTTTTCACCTGGGAAAGGTGAATGACTTCCAGTTCCATGTCTCTGTCTGAGCAGAGCAGGGAGAGATGCCTGGGTTCATATTTAAGGGGGAATAATGGTTCTGAGGAAGGGGATGCCAATAAAGTCCCACAGTGGAGTTCCGGAAGAGCATTATCACCGACGGAGGTGGCTTTGACCTCCACATTCAGTTCTGTGTGGGAGGGTTCAGAGATAAGCCCGGCTGTGTTTGTCTCAAAGTACAAGAAACCCACGATAACCCAGCCGCTGGCAAACTCTCTCAGCAGGCATCGATCTATAGTATTGACATGGTCCCTGTCACCACAGGATCCAAGCACCTCACACTCTTCAACACACTAATCCTCCTAGTAGCTTGTGAGGTAGGGCACTGCTGTTATCCCCATTGCATGGCTGGGGGGCTGAGGCACAGAGAGGCTAAGTGAATTGCCCAAGGTCACACAGGGAGTCTGTGGCAGAGCAGACACTTGAATCTGGGTCTCCCAAGTCCTAACCCTGAGGCCTTCCTTCCTCTCCATTCAGCCACTGCCTTTAGGAGGGCCAGGCCTTGACATGGGCAGGCCTTGGTTAGAGAGACTATTGCAGGAGAGTTGTATTCAGAGGGGAGGGCTCTAGAATGCAGAAAGGGGTTCATTCACATACGTGCAGCGCTCTTTCAGGCTACAGGGGTCCCTTCTTCCGTATCTCTCTAAGTCAGAGGTCGGGGGTGTCCAAGGCTCTAGTTGTGAGGTCCTCAACCCCCCACGGTGTAGGGACTAAGGGTCACCCCAGTCTCAGTGAGATGCAGTAGAAAGGAAGGCTGGGCTTGGGGCTCAGGCACTGGAATGGGGCTCATGAGAGCTGTGGCCTGGTCCCATCTTTGCCACACACTCCGTGTGTGTCCTAGGGCAAGTCACCTAATCTGCATGTCTCAATTCGTCATCTCTGAGATGGGGATGCTGGTTCTGTCTTTCAGCCACCCTTTGCCTCTCTTGTCTCTTTACGCTGTAAACTCACCAGGGCAGGGACCGTCTCTCACTTCATACAGCACCAAGCACAGTCAGACCTCGATCTTGATTGGGGAACAATCCCATCTGATGATGAACTGCAGGGTCTGGAATAAATGAGGTGTGTGAGATTCCCAAGGAGGGAGCAGTGCGTCCAGGGACCAGCCGTGAGATGGGCAGTAAAAGGGCCACCACATTCTTACTATCTGGAGATATTAAAAAGAGTGTGATTTTAAACGAAACCTCCAGCATGATGTTTCGACACAGGGGCCAGAGCTGGGCTGACGTGTATACGGACCGGGAAGGAATGGGAAGAGCTCCAATGCTAATGCTGGGTTTGTTTGCCATTGAACGTCTAGGCTGCTCCCAGTAAAGGCAGAGACGTGCATCAGATGTTGGCAGATTCCAAGGCTCAGACGAGGAAGTACGACGTTCAGCAGGTAAGCAGCGAGCCTGCGTGCTTTTAACACGCCCCGGCAGGGGGCTAGATTCTGCTCTGCAGCCCCTCAAGCAGGCAGAGCTGACCAGGGACGTTCACCCAGCCTAGGTGGCTCCTCAGGACCCACAGCTGGTATAATAGCTCCCGGGGTGGTTACATCTCTTAAAAGCTAGGTAGCAAGAATCATTGTCCCACCCCAGACAGACATAATGTCTCTGGCCCCCACCATGCAGGGCACCGCCTCCCAGCACTGACTAATGTGGTACCATAGTACCAAGAGTTCCCCACCATCATAGGCGCCAACTCCATGGGTGCTGTTCCCCGCCCCTGCTCATCAGCTGTTGGGTGACACCTCCCAACAGCCAATAGGGGGCGGCACCACTACCAAACAGCTGTCTGGCGGCTCGGGGAGGTGGAGAGTGGTGGGTGGGCGGGGGACTCGGGGAGGGGGCGGAGTGGGGGGTGGGAAGAGGCAGAGTGAAGATGGGGCCTTGGGGGAAGGGGCAGAGTGGGGGCTAGCAGCCCAGGTTTCGGGCTAGCAAAGGAGGGGCTGGCCCTTTTTCAGCACACCCGTCATCTCAGCAGAGTCCCCTCCAATTCTCCTCTCCAAGCTAAATAGCCCCACTTTGGGCAGTATTACAATTTTGCCAGACGGTCACGCTATAAAGTAGCTCTTGCCCTTCTCTGGCCCTTTCCGATCTCTGCTCTCTCTCTCATGAGTTCAAGTAACCAAGACTGGGACTGAGGACGGTAGCAGAGGATGCACCATTGTCCAACAGGCCATTACAGCATGTTCACGCTTCATAGATTTCCTGTGTGATGCTGTGCCCGGGGCAGAGACAGCCAAAGAGCTTTTCCAGGCTGACGCCAAACTCTCTCCTCCACAAGCAGCTCTGAACCTGGTGCAGGAGGATCTTAAAGCAAAGCTGGCAATGGAAAAGGGGCTTGAGGTGTCATGGGGTGTGAGTGAAACCAGAATCAATAGGATATGGTAAAGTCTCAGTGAGCCCCGGAATGGGGCCTTGCAGGTCTTTGGCAGCTGCTCTGGTCTGTGTGGAGGAGTGGGCTGGTCCCGAGCCAGCTGAGGATAAAACAGCCCCCTCCACTCCCTCCCGGAGCGCTCCTTGGCCACAGCTCAGGATCTGGCCTTTAGAGTCACTTAATGTCACTTCCTACCCCTCGAGCTCAACCTGCCCATCTGCGTAGCCTGTGCCCACGAATGGACCCCAGAAGCCCTGGGCTCCCAGGTAGTGGGGAGGAGGGAGGGTCGGTGTCTTGGGGAACCCCACTTATTTCACAGGAGACCCTAAAGAAACGAATCCCTGGTGTCCAGAGACTGCTAAAGGCAGCCAGCAGAAAGCAAGCCGGGCACCAGGCATTACACACATTGTCTCCTAACAGGCGAAGGATCTAGCAAGGAGGAGGCCAGGAGGGATGAGAGCATCTGCAGAGAGGGAGCTGCAAACTAACAACGACCGGAAGGAGGCCCAGGAGTCAGGGCAGAAATCAGACAAGGACGATCCCGAGTGGCAGGAATCCTGTAAGAGACGCTGGTGTTGCCCTTTTTTCTATTCTCCCCTTCCTTTAACTGTTTGGATTCTTCTGCTGGTCACTTGGCTGATGGATGGGGCCTCTCTTGATTAATGCAACGTCACTAGATAGCTAAGCTGGCCAAGAGTCACCCGGCTCTGTAGCATGAAGACTACAGGTGGTTAGGAAATGGGGTTTTCGTCCCATGGGAAATATGGATGTTTTGAAATTAGTTTCCATTCAGAATTGGAGCAGAACATCAAATTGTCAAACAATTTCATGGAACAAAAAATTCTGAAAAGTTTTGGCTGGGAAGGTGCTTGGATACTTTCAGCCCTGCAGTGTGTCTGGGGAGCTGGCTCTGTAGGGCAGGGCAGAGCTGCCCCTGCTGGTTCCATATTGATTCCAGAACTCTGCTAGTGCTCTGGGGCCGGCGTCTCCTGCTGTGCCCTGCGAGGGGGCATTGCCCTACAGTCAGTGGTTGAGGGCCAGACGCTGCCGTGTCCCTGGGTGTCCAGGAGATGGGGATGGTGTATTACAAATATGTCTCACTTCAAGCTAGGGTTTTTAAAAACCAGGTCCCTAAAGTTAGGCCATACCAAGGCAACTAAATCACTGGCCTGATTGTCAAAGTACTGAGCATCCAGCAGCTGCCAACTGGCCGTGTCATATTTGTGAAAATCAGGTGCTACTTAGGTGACTAAATACCCCAGGCGGTGCCTGCACTGACTCTCACCCATTCCCGGTAGCATACCCATTGACATGTTACGCCAGCCTTATGCCACCGTACCCCGGCTTGGTGCTTTTCACCCTACGTTCCACCACCTCTGGAGTCCTCACTACGCAGCAGTGCACTGTTACCAAGGTCATCGTTGCCCTGGAAACTAGTTAGTTTCAAAAGTAGCTTGAGAGCCTACAACAGCCCCTAAATCCCCCGGTTTCACAAGCACCTTTTCCTGCCCTTTGATTACTGCACAGCCCAGGTGTCCTCAGGAGAGGACCTCGGGCAGAACTGGGGATGGGAGAGGAGCTGGGTCTAGAGGTGACCTCAAGGCACAGTCTAGCCTATATGAAATAGGCAACTACTTAGCTTCAGCTAGCCTGGGGGTGTGTAAAGCGGCAGTGGGTTTCAAAGCCTCCCTTCTGTTCCAGTGAGGAAATCCAAAGCCGCTGATGAGAGGAGACGCTCCATTGCAAAGCAGGCCAGGGACGACTACAACAGGCTGTCGCTGCAAGGGATCCGCAAAGGGAAGGTAGCCGAAGTTTCCAAGAATTTTGGGAGCAAGGAGCGCAGCTTGCCCCCCCGTCCTTCCCTTCCACCCAAGCCTAAAACCCTAAACTCTGGGGTAGCCAATGGGAGGCCCAACAGGTAAGAACTGCCCCCGGTGATGAAAGTGTCTGGGATCTTTCTGTTGTGGGACGGGGATGGTAGGGGTGTTCCTAGGGCTTAGAGATTAGTAACCTTCATACACTACCATGACACCTTTCATCAGACAGGGTCTGTCTACGCTGCATGCTCTTCCAAGGCAAGGTGCTGTGGACATGACAGATCTATTCCTTATTAGCGAAGATGATGATTAACCAGGACTTCATCTCTTTGAAGTATTTAATTAAGGATACAAATCAGTGTCAGCTGGTGTAAACCCCATGGTTCCAGCAGCCCCTGTCTCAGTAAAGTGAATGCTTTGGGCTCCCCTGGCAATATTCCCCCTGAAGTGACTCCAGTATATTCCTTCAGATTCCACAGGCAGCCCCCGATTTTGGGGCTGCACAACACGTTGGGCCAGATCCACAGCTTGTGTGTGGTGGCCAAGTTCTGTAAAAGGCAACCCAGTGAACTGAAAGGATCGTTGACGTCCATGGAGCTCGGCCGATGGGTGCATGGTACACTCTTGCTGACTTCACAAATTGGTACCAAAATGCCACAGGATTCTGGGACCCACAGCCAGAGAACCATCTGTCTGGGTTCTTTTTTGTTCTGAGATCCCACACACCCAGGCCTGCACTTCTTCTCACTTGAAACGGGCAGCCTCCCCCAGCATTGAGGGCTGCTCTGCTGGGACCTCGTCTGCTCCCTCCACGTTCCATTTGGTGGGAAGTACTGCACCCTGACCCTCTCCTGCCCTGTAAGCTTGCCTCTAGGGAGAGCTGGGTTAGCAGCTGCCATCTCAAATAGGGATTTGTTTTAGGGCTGCACAGACGGGTGCGTGTTCCCCTGACAGGGTCAGGACTTCCAGCCATTTTTATTTACCGTCTCCCAGCTAATGTGCGACTGAAGTGTGCCCTGCCCAGGGCCAACGCTGGAACCTACCTGGAAACTGCAGCTGGTGCAGAATTCGGCCGGTCGTTTGTTATGGGAGGATGTGACCCCAGGGGCTCCTGGATCTGCACTGGCAGAATTGGTTTTAACCTTTCAAGCCTTATACGGCCTTGGACCATCTCCTCTAAGAGATCCCCCTTGCAGCTGAGATCTGCTGGGGCCCCACCAGAGAGGGACAGCTGGCAGGGTGCCCTCCATGAGCCCCTGGGTTTGGGAAATAGTCCCAATCACTGACCTGCCAGCCATGCTGCAATGGACCCATGCTCTCCAGGCTGTGCGAGTGCACTGGCTCTGGGGGCAGATCTCATGTTTTGCTGCTGGCTGCTGTGGGCGTGTTGATTAACAATTGAGAGTGAGGGATATATAGAGCCAGCTAACAATTATCCATCGGCTTTTTTTCCTCTGTGGAAAATGGCTTTGTGACGAAGTGGAAATCTTCACAATTTTTCTCTCCATTTTTGTCACTTTTTAGTTTGATAAAAAAAAATGAAGTTCTTTGGGGTTTGGCAAAAAATCTGGGGAATTTCAAAGAGAGATTCTGGCAAACGTATGTGCTCAGCAGAGTTTTCCCCAGGGGAGAGGGAATAAATCCTCTCTCAGCCAGCTCTAGCTGCAGGGCTGTGTCCCAGCTGTATATTTAAGAATTCTCAATGAGCTCCTAGAGCCAGGCAGAAGTGCCCCTTTCAATGGATGTGGGTACCTCCAATAATACAATGACCCCCGGCGTATTAGGCCAGCTTTAATCCATCTGACCAGAGAGCATCCACGCCCCAAGATCTAAGCAGCTGCTCTTTGGCAAAGTTAACTTAGGTCCTCAGGCATAGACTCTCAAAGGTATTTAGGTGCCTAACTGCAATTGGTTTTGATGGGAGTTAGTTGCCTACATACCTTTGGGCATCTGGGCCTCAGACACTGCCGTGATGAGTACAGTAGAAGAACCTGTAGAGAACAGAACTTGAATTCTGGGGTGTGACCTCACTGTACAAACCACGAGTCTCTTGGAACCGCAGGAATCTGGGCGTGCAGAGGACCCTCTCCACTTCCACCCAGGAGAGCATCATCAGGTGGTTTAAAGAAGAGCAGATTCCTCTTCGGGCGGGTTATGAGAAATCCACGGACAGGATAGCACCCTGGTTCCATGGTGAGTGCTGCAGCTTCCCAGCCACTCTCCTGCCCTTAGGAAAGTGGTCCGTGGAAAGCCATCCCAGGCCGGGTCCATTCCCGGTCTGAGAAACGTCTCCAGACAGCATGTGCCCCAAGAGCACAACAGTAACCCACGCTGAGCACATACAAACTGCATCTCACACGTTATATTGAGTATCCCTTTGCCAAATCTTTGCTGCCAGACTCTACTGCTACATATCATGGATAGCACCTTTCCCTTCACCCATGCCCATCATGACCAGCCTCCCACTAGTGGAAAATCTTCAGCTGGATCCTCAACTTCACTTGAAGTCTGTGGAGCAGCTACACGTTTAAAGCCATGTGCTAAGTGCCTTGCTGGATCAGGGCCTAAAAGATCATTTGTCATGTGGTGCGGACGCTTGGGCTGCAAGCTCTTTGGGGTAGGGACTGCCTGCTAGTTCTGTGTTTGTGCAGCACCTAGCGCACTGGTGTGCTGGTCCATGACTGGAGCACTTAGGCCCTACCACAATACGAATAATAGACCCCACGGAAAGAGAGTGTCAAGGCACAAGAGGCATGCTGGGTAGAGCGATGACCCAGAGTGGGTAAGAACAAATTTGACCAACCTCTTCCACTCCATTAAAGAGAGTGACTGTAGAATGCTTTGCTAATAGTCATTCTAGCAAGGAGATCTAGCCGGGAAGGCAGCATGGTACAGTGCAGAGGGTGCAGGCCTGGCACTCGGGAGCCCTGCTGGGGGGGGCCTTGGCCAAGTCATTTCTGTGCTCTGCCCCTCTAATCGGGCAGACGGGGCTCATCAGCTGAGGCAGGCAAGCCACATGGGAGAAGGAAAATGATTTCAAACCAAAAACGTCCGGCCTGACCAGCTGTTTTGTAAATGTTGTGCCAATCACACAGGCTCCGTGGGTCTGCAGTGCTGCGCCCCCCCCACTAATGCGACAAAGTCAAGCAAGGAGACGTAGCTTATCAGAAAAGGAGGGGCGTGTTTCCCACCTCACCCCACCAGGAGGGCATTCCCAGTTAGTCCATTCTTCTGGATGGAAACTTGTGCCCAAAAGGCAAATGTAATTCACAGCTTGATACTTCTGGCTGCTTATTGGACTGGCCTAAAAGACCTTCCACATTCTGTACACGAGGTGCTGCTTTCTAAGCTAAGCCTCAGCAGGGCGCTTGGCGGGTGGCAGTGCTATCAAGAGTAGGGAGCTAGGGTGGGACTCAGCAGACCTGGGTTCTGTTCCTCTGCCACTGACCTGGGGAAGTGACGTCTCCGCTCTTTGCCGCCGTCTCCCACCAGTAAAATGGGGTTAGAGATCCCAACCGTTCTCCGTCAACTGCTTTGAGATCTGCAGCTGAAAAGAGCCAAGGGTTGTATTTATTATACCACTAAGGGAACAAGTAAGGCCCTAGCACATGTCCTGGCTTAAGGAGGTGGGTGGGGGTGGCCATGGAGAAACTGATCCAACAATTCTAGACCAAGCAAAAGCAATTGGGTCCCTTTAGTGAGCACTTCAGTGAGGAGCGTTTGCTTGGTAGAGCACATCTGCAATCATGTAATATTAATGTACATTGCACCTACGGGTACGTTTGCACTGCAGTCAGGCAGGACTACCTGCACTAGCTATAATCTAGCTAGTGTGGCTAAAAATAGTAGTGAAAGGGGGAACCCTGGCTACCTACTCTTGGCCTGCACGGCTGTGACGTCACTGCTTTGAGTCATGCTAACTGGATTTAAACTAGCACCCTGCCCGAGCGGCAATCGCACCTCTCTCTGCAATACAGACATCTCCCGAGTCACTAGACCCCACACGTTGTGCACGTGGGCGCGAGCGGAGTTGTTCTCTGGGCTGATGTGACAGCCAGCCCTAACAGGACCAACTCACGTGCCACGGAAGACTCTGAAGGTGCAACAAGAATGTTATACAACTGAGCTCTGTACAAAACAGAATGGGCGCGAGCATCTCTCCTAGCAGTGTGCTTGGTCTCTTGACTTGGCTCGGCCTGTGAGAGCGTTTCCTGGAGAGGAGTAAGCAGTTAAAAGAAACTATAAACCATAGGTAAGAGAGGGCTTCTGTAATTCCAATGTCCTTCAGGACATGGAGACTTTAACAGCAGGCTAATCTAGCTAGCTAAGGTATTTATCTGCCTCCCTTCTTATCCTCCTTACCTGGCCATGCCAGATGGCTGCCGCGCAGCTCCTGCTAGCCCAGCTGTGTGAGCTGGGCCACGATCTGGCCTAGAGCAAAGTGGTTAGGCTGTGAAATGCTGCTGAGACGTACAGCCTGCTGTAAATGCTACGGATTAGTTTAGAGGGTTAAACCAGCATCCTTCTTAGCATTGCTACATTCAGCCCTCCACTCCCCCCAAACTGCTTCTCTCCTGTAAGCGCTTTGGTTTGCTTTTGGCAGGTATCGTAACCCTGAGGCAAGCAGAGGAGCTCCTGAGCAAATCGGTGCCCGGGAGCTTTCTGGTCCGGGTCAGTGAGAAGATCAAAGGCTACGCACTCTGCCATCTGTCCCCGGAGGGCTGTAAGCACTTTCTAATAGATGCCTCCAGCAACTCCTACAGCTTCCTGGGAGTGGACCAGCTGCAGCATTCGACACTGGCCGACCTTGTCAACTACCACAAGGTGAGCCCTTCTCAATGCTTGTAGTAACAATTCATCTTTGTAACTGGCCTAAAGCTCTTTGGGGAGGAGGCTGTCTCTTTGTTTGTACAGCACCGAGCACAGGCTTCCGTAATGCAAATGAAAGCCACCAGCAGGCAGGGGCAAGTTTATCAACAAACCAGCTTTTCTGGTAACCTCGGTACATGATTTGGGACTGTCCCTACATTTTTCCCTTCCATGAACCAACTGTGTGCTGGGAACTGTAGGGTTACAGGGCAATAGATCACCTTTCCGTTTGATAAAAGCAAGGCACCACATGCAGCAAAGGTAGCGCAGAGCAGTGTGGAATGAAGCAGGCTGGGCCTCTCTTTGATATAGTTTCCCGTTGCTTCGGATTCAGGAATCAGCATTTCTCATGTGCCAAGCTCCAACCGAGTGGCTCAGTTAGTGGAGATAATGAAGGTCATTTGTGGTCAGCAGAGGGCCAGTTGGAAGGAGTGTGTTTGGGGTGGGGGATGCCCAGGTGCAGCGCCCAGGTCATGCACCACAGCAGCCCTAGCGTGAAGGCATAGGTGGCACTTATTGGGCACCTGGTCTTGTGCTGCCCCTCTGCACAGGACTGAATTTCACCATCTGAGCGCTTCTAAAACATTCAGCTGCTCTGAGAAGGTGTTTCCTGGGGCACGACAGTCTGGTTTTTGGCCAACTCATAAAGCCGTTCGTTCTCCAGCGTTTAAAGCAAGAATGGAAGCAGAGCTTGTTTCCACGGGACTCCCACATTGCCGGTGTCACTTGGTGAGGCCGGGTACAGCTCCTACTGACAGGAAGCGCCAACTCACTGAATGTATTAAAACTTTTTTCAGTGAGAGATCATTTGCTGGCGTTCGGGGAAGCTCACCACTGGGCAGAGGGCTGGCACAAAACCAACATGCTTGTTCCACCTCCATTCTCAGAACAGGGCTCTTACATGCTGCTTAGGCCTCATCCGGTCCCTCTCCCTGGGGTGAATTTCACGCCACATTAAATGAGATATGCATGAAACTCCCTTAAATAACACCACTGGTCTCAAAAAGACGCTCCTACTAGCGAAGCCAGCACTGGTAGCAAAGAGAAACGTTGGTGTCTTTGGATTCTCCCCCCCCCATGCCCCGCCCCAGCACGGTGCTTTAACGGATGAGAATCCATTTGCTGCTACTAGCTCATGAGAGCAGAGCAAAACGGAGGAGCAGCAGCAGCAAGTGGGGAAGACGGAGCTGAAGAGGGAAGGTGGGGGGCAGTGTAATTGGGTTAATTGGCTCACTTTTGTATCCCCTCGGTAAGCCAGGGGAGGTCGATCATGGCTGGCTTGGTGCCTTGCAGTACCTGCGGCGCAGCAGAGGGAGAAGACAGTCCCTCCTCCAAAGTGGTGACTGGCTGGCGGGAGGCTGCTGCCCAGAAAGAGGCAGAGCGAAGTGTTAAAGCTCCTCTCAGTCTGAGGGTGTTGGATTGTCTCATTTAAATTGGGATGTGAGGCCCGCTCAAGGCCATACAGGCCCAGATCCAACGCCCACAGAAATCGATGGGAGCCTTTCCCTTGACTCTGGCAGGCTTTGAACTGAGCCCGAACCATAAGTCACAATTGCGCTGGCTCAAAGCCCATGGAAAGCCATCTCTTGCCCCCAACAGGCTGTCAATCAGCGCCTAAGTGCACCTGTGTTAATTTCAGACTGTGGAGCTTAACGAATGTCCTTTGGCCAACAGGAGGAGCCCATCACTTCTTTGGGGAAGGAGCTGCTGCTTTACCCATGTGGCCAACAGGGACCGGAACCTGACTACCTTGATCTCTTTGAGTGAAAGCCTCCGTTCCCACCTTGTGACACACACCCGTGCCTTCCCCTGAATGAACAGATGAACGGTTGTCCGAGAGACAGACCCCCTAACGCCCAGCCAGCACCGATCAAGTGAAATCCTCCGCACAAGTGTCCGGATTTGAAAACGTTTAGCAGCAAAGCAGTGAAAAGGCGATTACTACAGGGTGCTGCTCTCTGTTAGCAGCAGCAGCCTAGCAAGCCAGGAAGGAGCGCGAGTGGCTTCAACCTTACTGGAGGAGGGTTAGCTCAGGAAAGAACCTGTTGAAGGAAGATACTGCCATGGGTTAGAGCGATAGTTTGTGTAAATGACTCTGGGCTGGCTCGGATTAAGCTGCATTTTGCCCTCAGCTGTTGCAGCATAACTTGCCATTCAATGGGATGTTTGCCAGATGTGCGGTGAAATTGGTATTTTAAACTCAGAAAGGGGTCGCCTCTGTTCAAAGGGGGTGGAGCCACATCAAGGAGGGGACTTGGCCCCTAGTGGTAAGTTGCATAATTGCAGATCAGTCCTGCAAGAGGCCGAGTCCTCTGGAGTCAGTGGGAGTAGAGGTCGCTCAGTGTGCTGCAGCATCGGGTCCACCATAAAATCCACCCCATGCAGAGGGGCCAGCACAAGACCTGCGCAGCGCATGAACCCACATAATCCCTGAATATAGGTCTTCAGTGGGGCTTACTCGGTGACTAAGCTTTGTGCTGGCCCCTCTGCACGGGGCGGGAATGAAGCCCTTTGGAGATGGAGAGAAACAGCAAGTTTGTTAAATAAAGAAACCAAGTTGGAATCTGGCTGAGCCGTTTTAACTCTTGCACACACAGCCTGGGCTAGTTTACATCCAGCCTCCAGGGCAGGCTTTTACTGTTAGTCGTCAGTATTACTCAAGTCTAATGTGGACATGAACAAAGAGAGATGCCTGCCAATAAAGGACCCAGTCTCTTTTCCGTAATGTAACTGTTTATTGAAGTCCTGCAAATCACTTCTCAGCAACGTGCCTTATAACTGCTCGTGCTGAATGTAGCTGGGCCTTCTACTTTTTCTTTGACATAACAGCTGAGCTTGTGTTTGTCCCAGAGAGCTGCAGTATGAAATACCAAGGCATAGACTTGAAGAGATGCTAAAACGTGTCGTAGCATCAGTACCAGGATTGGTGGTGCATATTATGAAAATCAGACAAATTATCTCCCTCCCCTCCACTAATGACAACTTGCAAGCTTTAAAATTGTGAACAAAAATCAGTCCAGTTTCAGTTCAATTAATTTCTCTTCTTCCATGTGGCTTGGGGTTGTTCTGCAGAACTTAAGAAAACCATCAACACCAAGTCCGTCAGGTCATTTTGAAAAGAGTATCCGGCACCTTACTTCTAATCTGCGTCCTATGGAATGTGGTGGATTCGCCCTCACTTGAAGTCTTCAAACCACGGGCAGCTGTCGTTCGAAAAATAATATGCTGTACGCCAGCAATAAGAGATGGGCTTGAAGCAGGAAGGACTGGGTGAAGTTTTTATGCCCTGTGCTAAGCAGGAGGGCAAATTAGATGATCACCATGGGCACTTCTGGTCTTAAAATGTATTTGCTGCATGGTAGAGTGGAGCCTGCCTTCCAACCTCTATGACACTGAACACACTGAGGACTATGTTTCATTTTTTACAGAGGAGCCTGGTCGTAGCAGTACAAGTGTTTCAGAGATTGTTGATCTTTACCAATCCTTAGCAGTTACTGAAGCACTCCAGGCTCTAAAAGTTTGCATCCCGAATCATAAACACGCTTACAGCTTATGAAGAGCCCACAGTTCATGCTCATCAAGTGAAAAATGACATGCCTGATCTTGCGGTGTGGGCAGAGAGTCGCTCTGAAACCTGCCAACACACACCAGCAAAAACAGCCCTCTTGGAAAACTTAATCAAAAAAAGTCATACATGGCCACTGACTCAACCGCCCACTTTCGCCAACCTGCCCGTTACTTCAGAGCAGGACGTGTATTTGAGCCAAATCAAGCAAAACACCTTGACGTTCGTGAGTTCACAGGATTTGGAAATATATCACTGCTCGAAGACAACATTCCAGCACAGAGAGAGTATCGGGCTGACTGTGGAGCCGTTCAAGAATTGCGGAACAAGGACCTTTTCCAGTTCTGGAGAAGCACGGTGGCCAGATTCCCAGCTCTGTCAGTAGTCGCCCTGCGATGCTTAGCAGTACCAGTCTACAGCGTGGGTGATGAACCCGCCTTCTCATCTTGTAAAAATGTGCTTGGGGACAACAGACGCCGCATAAACAACAAGCTGTCTAGGCATAACTTGTCAGACCAAAATGGCAACACTTTGCAAAAGGGACTTGAACAAAAATAACTGATTTTTAGTATATCGTTTTTCGTTCTTTTTGGTTGAAAAATGATTGCACAATATGCATATATAAACTCAGAACAGTTTACTGTGACAGGGCAAAGAAAACAATTGCATTAATGTTCTTTTGTGTAAATGTTACACTGTCATACTTTGTTAAATTGTCACATTGTTCGTTGCCGTCACCATACCCTGATTTTGTACATTTTTGCCATGAATGTTCTGTGAATTTTGCCTAATTTTACTGTGACAAAATCGTATCCATAACCACGGTCTTTCTGTGCAAGGTACAAGCCTGGGTCTAATACAGGGGCGCTGCTGCCTCGCTGAGCCCTCAGGATGAGTGTGGCAGTTGCTCCAGGTTTTTGAGGTGGTGTTTCCCCCCTGCAGAGCCCAAGGATGTGCCAGCATCTATGCAGGGAGGCCAGGCAGCTCCAGCTCTATTTGTGGACTTTCCTTGGTTCCGGTGGGTGCTCGCGCCCCCCTGCCCCGCCCCTAGCCCCACCCCGACTCTGCCCCTTCCCTGCCCCTAGTGGACCCCTCCCCAAATCCCCACCCCGGCCCCGCCTCTTCCCCGAGCGCGCCGCGTTCCTCCTCCTCCCCCTTCCCCTCCCTCCCACCGCTTGCCATGTGAAACAGTTGTTTCGCGGTGCAAGCGCTGGGAGGGAAGGGGGAGAAGCAGGACTTGGTGGCGCACTCAGGGGAGGAGGTGGAGGCGAGCTGGGGTGGGGGGGCGGGGCAAGGAGCTGCCGGTGGGTGCAGAGCACCCACCAATTTGTCCCCATGGCGCCTATGCTTTATGTATTGTGTCTCGCTGTAGCTTGTTCTGAGAGGCCAGTTCTATGTCCTATGCTGGAGGAGTGTAATTAACAAGGATCCTGCTCTCTCTTCCCCCTTCCCCACTCCTGTCCTCGCTTTGTCTAACTTCTACCGAGGTGCAAGCTGCAATTTCCAGCTGCTGTAATCAATCACAACGTCCAGAGAACAGCACAGTCCGTACATGCTGGCTGCCTTCCTTCCCTCCTCATTCATACAGTGCCATTGCTCTCCAAAGCTGCGTCTGCGTTAAGGGGGCACCGCAGGGAGCAGCGGAGGGATTGAAACAGCGTTGCTGCGGCCAAGGTGCAGCAGGAATACAGCACAGTCATTTAAAGCTCTGCTTGCAATGGCGCGAAAGGGGCTGGATGAAGATACTACTCCAGGGGCAGGGACGGATTAAGACTTAAAGGTGCTCAGATCCATCCTACACACAGGGCACAAGCGGGGTAGGGCTGTCAGGCAAATCACATTTTGGGGGGGGCGGGAGCTTGAGGCACACTATCTCAGACACTGCACCTAGTCTCAAGTCGGTTTACGGGGGCTGTGGAGACATCTGCTGTGTACAAAGGGTGTGATTTAAATAAGCCTGTTGCTTTCTCCTCTACTGGTGCACTGATTTATCTATCATAATTTTCATAGGTTTGAAAACAGGGCGTCTTACGTAACTGGTTATGCGATTTAGCATGCTTAGACAAACAGTTTTGGTAGGTCCTACAAAAGTCTCTGAAATTCTTCCTCTAAGCATTACAGTGCTACCCCTTTGTAAAATAGCTCATTAGACTCCAAAGCCTCCCATTCGATATTCCTCCAGCACACATCTAGGGATAAACTATTTGAATGGTGTCCCTTTAACGCAATAGGCCAACACTATAATCACGGTGTGTGTTCTGAGGGCTTGTCTCACAAAACCTATTACTCATTTCTACCAAGTTTTAAAGAAAACTGAGCATACTTTCTCTAACTCAAAATGTCAAGTAAAAAAAGGTACTTACAATAGGGTATTTTCAGGATGGCCCCCCTGCAAAAGAATGCTTTCAAAGAGGTAGTGAGTAGTATGCCTACTGCACAATGTCCATATAAACCCTATTATACACTGCTGTCTTAGGCTAGGTCTACACTACAGCGGGGTTCCGACCTAAGATACGCAACTTCAGCTACGTGAATACCGTAGCTGAAGTTGCGTATTTTAGGTCGGCTTACCTGGCGGTGAGGACGGGGGAAAGCCGACCGCTGCCGCCGACTCCGCTGCCGCCTCTTGCCGAGGTGGATTTCCGGAGTCGACGGCAGAGCGATCAGGGATCGATTTTACCGCGTCCTCACGAGACGCGGTAAGTCGATCCCCGATAGACCGATTGCTACCCGCCGGATCGGCGGGTAGTGAAGACATACCCTTACATTCTTCCTTCCCTTGGCTTTCCACCTGGTAAATGCACAAATAATGACAATACAAGTTTGTATCCCAAATGGCTTGAAAGAATCTGAAGCTATCGAACAATGAGATCAAGCTAGGAAAGCAAACAGCTAGCCCTTGCATCTGTTGCGGGTTAATAAAATCTAAAATGATGAACGAAACAACAGTCAGCATTAAAAGAAAATATTTTATGATAGCAATAAGACATGTTTTGAACAGTGCTGGATGCAACTATCAAACAAAACTCTTAAAATTAAAAAGCAGATCAATTTCTGGGAAGCACTTAGGAATGCTGTCAGCGTATTGAGTCTTAGAGGCTTCAATTAATCCTTCATAGAAATATATTTCTTATATCACTTACAAAAAACTCCACTATGCATTGGGTAAAATGCTAGATTTGGTTTATACTGAATACTTTGGTATAAACAAGTCATAAAGAGGTCCTTCATTCATTTTGGTGCCTATTAGGTCCATCAATGGCTATTAGCCAGGATGGGCAGGGATGGTGTCCCTAGCCTCTGTTTGGCAGAAGCTGGGAATGGGCGACAGGGGATGGATCACTTGATGATTTACCTGTTCTGTTCATTCCCTCTGGGGCACCTGGCATTGGCCACTGTC